AGATTGTAAAATTCTATCAAAATTTAAAAGATTTTATTCTTTTTTTAATTGGTACAATATGGGATTTGATACAATTAACCAGCATTTATGATACGAGAAGTGATCACGTCGAGCATTGGTAATGTTATCCATTATCAAAATCGCATTTGACAGCTAAGTTCATGATTCTATACAAACATCTGTGGATGATCCACATGTTGAGATACAAAAAATATAACTCAAGCTGATATTTTTCTTAAAAAAATCATCTATATTTTTAGCTTATTCAACTGAATTAAACCTTTATCTACCGATGGTACCACTCACTTTAAAATAACGCAGAATAACCAATTTTACGAATATTCTGACAATACTTAGCAGGAATATTCTTTGAAATCCACTCTTTCAAGATATATGGCAGCATGGGTTCTATGATGAGTATTTTAGCGGGGAAGGGGCAAATAGTTTTATAGCAGAAATTGCGTTTTCAGCTCTCGGTGCTTTCAGCGGATTGCAAATATTATCATTTTTGTACCGAAAAAATAGTTAATGTCAAAATTTAGGTGTTTTATTTTGTTTTCTATGTTAATGAAGACCTTAGAAAACGATTTGACTATTTATTTTAAGTTAACAGTGTATATAATTAATTTTAAGGTGGAATATCTTTAATCAATCAATTAATTAGCTCTAAAGGATTAAACTTCCCAAAGTTGAGTATTTTGTTTATGTATATCCTTTAATTTTCAATGTAGTGATCCAAAAAAATATTGCATGAAAAAAAAAACTGAAGTTAATCATAATGCGGCAGATAAATGGTTTAATCTGCCTTCTATACGTAGTTTCACTCGAAAATGAAGCTGGAAAGTGCTAGTGAACATCAAAACAGGAAATCGAGAAGCATTGTACGTGTAATGATGATAGTTAAATGATTGACGTTAAATTAGCAAATATTAATCAGTTGGTTACAGTAATAAAGTAACTGAAGATATTTCGAACCGAAGTAAACAGATATTTTTTTTTCGGTTCAGTTCCGGTTTTTCTTCCGACCTAAATAACTGTTTTTCCAGTTTTTGGTTCAGTTCTGGTTCGAAGCTCTACTTAACGTATCCCACTACGTTCGGAACCGTGATTTTAAAAAAGCACATAAAAGGATCATTTTCATGATATTTAGTTTCACTTAGATTAAAATGTATAAAATTATTTTAAGAACATTTTGAAAAAAAATTATTTAAATACAATATTTCGGCAAAAAATTAACTTAGAAAAACCTTTTTTCAAAATGTTCTCCTTTTGTGAAAAATGCTTCTATTAGAATAATATTTTGCCTGCATATTGCTCAGACCTCTTTACAGAGGCTCAACTATGATTTTTGAAAAGTTCACATAATTTTCGGAGTTGCAACCCATTGAAATAATTATCGGCCTTTTTTTCTTAAAATTTCTCCCCTCTGTTGTCGTAAAACATGGATAAACCCACTTCTAAGTTATATATTTCAAAAATTCTAGTTGAGCCTCTGTACAGAGGTCTGAGCTATATAGAGGCAAAATATTATTATAATAGAGGCATTTTTCACAGAAGGAGAATATTTTGAAAATGGGTCATTCTATGTTCATTTTTTGTCAAAATATTGTACTAAAATAATTTTTTATTGTAATACTATTCTTAAAACAATTTTATTTACATTTTGTTATCTAAGTGACACTAAATATCATAAATATTATCCATTTATGCGTTTTTGCAAAATCACGGTTCCGAAGGTAGTCGGATTCCTTAAAATAATACGTAAAGTAGTTTAACTATTTTAGGTACTTTATGTAAAGACAAAAAAAATATTGTATTAAATATAAAAAAATAATGTAGCTTTAATATAGCTTACTCAATCACATTAATTTGTGATTTAAGTTTCACCTCTCTACCCCTGCATTACATTTAATAACATAAAAATGTCTTCGCATTTTTTACACAAAATATCGAAACTTAGATCTATTGAAATTATCTGCAGTCACATTTCTTATATTCTGCGTTTAATTTGTTTATATATTTTTTTTGTAGCCATTCACGTTGAGAAACATTTTTTGCTTAAATACATTATTCTGATTGACATTAAAATGTTTACAACAATGTGAGAAATCCTGGGTATTTTGTATGAATTTGCAACTCTAAATATAGTAGCTGTTCTTACTTAAATATGGGTTTTAATATCGAATTTTTTTACTTGTTGCTAAATTGTTTCCTCTCTTTCATTATGGGTAGTTCCCCCCAACAAATGGAAAAAAGGTACTCTTTCCAACTAGCGTTGCATTAACGAGCATAAAATTGCTTTGTTGGACCCGGATAGTAAACAATATATTATTCATGATGTAACAGGTAGTATATATTAGGTTGGGGAAAAAGAAACTCATTATTTTTTAATCAAATTCAAGAATTTTATTTAACATGTTTTGGATTGTCCAATTTGAGTCAAATATGCACCATTTTATTGTATAATTTGTTGCCATTTTAAAGGTAGCTTCATAATTCCTCTCTCATAGAAGTCTTGGTCCTTATTGGCGAAAAACTCTAGTGATCGATTTTCACAATCTTCTCTTATTCCCAATTTCTTATTACTCAAGAAGTTTTGCAATGCGAGAAAAAAGGTGGTAATCGTTTGGTGCCAGGTCCGGACTACATGGTGGATGCATTAAAACTTCCCAACCAAGCTCCCAGAGTTTCTGGCGAGTCACTACAGACGTATATGGCGTGGCGTTGTCCTGATGGAACACAACACCTCTTTTGTTGGCCAATTCTCGCCGTTTCTGGTCAATCGCTAGCTTCAAACGGTCCAGTTGTTGACAGTAGAAATCTGAATTTAGTTTTTGGAAATACGGGAGCAACTCATAATAAATGATTTCTTTCCAGTCCCACCTAATGCGCAGTAAAACCTTCCTGGCCGTTAGTCCTGGATTGGCTACTGTTTGAGCTGCTTCCCACGCTTTGACCACGATCGTTTTCGCACAATATTGCCGTCTGTTACCCATTTCTCATCCCCAGTCATTATCCGCTTAAGAAATGAGTCGATTTCATTCCGTTTCTCAAAGACTTCGGAGATGGAAATTCGATCCATCATGATTTTTGCTGTTTTTTGGTACTGTACCCAAACACCGAGCTTCTTTTTGAATCGGACTTCTCGCAAATGGTTTAAAACTATTTTGTGCTCGATCTTTATCTTCTGGGAGATGCTGCGACTATTAACATGCCGGTCAACATCGATTATTTCTGTGATTTTATCGACATTTTTGACGAGGGGCCTGCCTGTGCGAGGTGCACATTTAACATCAAAAATGCCTGAGCGGAATCGATGAAACCAAAATTGCACGTAATTAGCTGTTACAGAATCGCCACCATGAACACCATTCAAAATTTCAGCCACCTCTTTCAATTTCGCCTTTATCAAAGAAAAACTGTAAAATGTACCGAATGTTCTCTTTGTTGACTTCATTTTTAACACCCTGTATCTCACAACTGACTGGATCAAACATAAAAAAGTAAAAAAAATAGGTTAGTGTGAAATGTCACCTTGACAACGAGCATAAATTTGAAATTGTTTGATCGATACTTCACGAGATATCGACACTACGGCCATTTACCGCAAAAATAATGTGGATTTCTTTTCCCCCATCCTAATATAAAGAAAGAAAAACCGTTTTTTTATATTCTTTTATTATATTATAATGAAAGTTTACAAAAAGTTTACAAAATAAAGTTATGCATAAATATAGAATTTTCAGTTTCATAACTGGGATATGCTTTAGATACTTGTGATTATACCAATTTAATTGAGAATGTAAATTCATTTTGCATACACATTTACAATTTTCTTTTTGGTTTTTTTTATTGTGGCTTGTGGTCCCCCAGGGTTCCGTGGAACACAGTTTGAAGACCACAGTTTTAGAATAACGATAGAAAATCTAATATTTCAAGCATAAAACCTCATTAAAAAGACTATTAGTGCATACTCAACTATCTTTTACTAAGCCTTTCGAATAATACTTCGTTCTATAGCTCACATAAGCTTTAATAAGTATTTCTGTGCTTCATTTAATCCAAATAGCCTGCAAGTGATGTTCACGCAGAATAAATGAAAAAGGAAAAATTTAGTTGAAATAAATTCGTTTTTTCAGCCCTCCGGTTCCAATGAGGGTAATCATTTCAAACCACAGACTTTTAATGAAGATTCAAAGAAGCACTTTCGCTTTAGGCTACATGTTTCACTTCCTGCTGGTTGAATTTTGCTAGAAAATAACAGTTTGTCGCGTGAAGTATTTTGAGAAATCTAATTCGATTTTTTTGTTTTCATTAGATGAAATTAATCGCAGAGAATTAAAAGAATAATTTTATCATATTACACAGCTCAAGTGGATGAGTTATTCTTTTAGGATTTGCTTCTATGAATTGAGTGTTATGTTTGGTTAGCCTTATTTGATTACAATAAGAAAAGTATATATAATCAGCAATGCTCCCGTTATAATTCAAATAGAATTATATGTTTAGGACATGCGCTCTAATAGAGAGTTTTCTAAATTTTAAATTATCTATTTCTTAGAAACGATAAGCATGATTTTAGCTTTTGTTAGCATGTTTAATATTTCATGTGTAGTTACTTTTGCAAAAAGAAAAAGAAGGAAAAAAATGATAAAAATACTTTTTCATAAAATGAGATGCTTTGTAAAATTAATATTCAAATTAGAAACAAGTAATATTAAAAAATTAAGTTAATTCCTACTTAAAGAAACAAAGAAAATTTTTATTTCAGTTACTTTTCATTAAATAATTACAATTAATAAAAATTTGGTTATACATATGACTGAATCACAATATTAAGTGGTAAAATAGAAAGCGATTTTCCTTGCAAATTTCCATTTTCCTTTTTATATTGGGTGTTGGACTATTATTTTTGTTTGCTGTTATTTATTCATTAATTAAATTTAATTATTTCAATAAAATACAATAGTAAAAAGAAATCGCATTCTGAGCAATTAGGCCACCCCAGGTGGGATTTGAACCCACGACCTTTGGATTAGAAGTCCAACGCGCTACTCACTGCGCGACAGGGACACAATGAATGATTTTAATTTCTTTATATGCCGTTGGACTCTTATTTTTGTTTCTTACTATTTATTCATTAATTAAATAGAATTAATGAATTAATAGTTGAAAAACTATATTAACATTAAGTGTCATCCACTACAAGTTTTGAAAAAATGTATTTAACTTGAGTGGATGAATAAAAAGTATTTTATTAACGATTGAAATTTTGAACACTATATATATATATATATATATATATATATATATATATATATATATATAGAGAGAGAGAGAGAGAGAGAGAGAGAGAGAGACCTAATAGTAGGAATTGAAAAATATTTTTTTCATGAAATGAAGTGTTTTGTGAAATTAATATTCAGACCAGAAAAAAAAATCTTTTATAAAAATAAACACAACTCTACAGGGGAAGCATTCGCAATATATTGTTCTTATTTCAGTAGTTAATTAGATTTTGTTACACTGTTCTCTTCAGAAATATTTTAACAGTTAAGTTCTTTTATTATGTAAGAGTGTCATTTGCCAGATACAATCTATATTAATAAAAGGAAAAGTTCGTAATGGTGTTTTGGATGTGGCACAAAAACTAAACAATCCAGACATGTAAAGCTTGATACGTGAAATCAGATAGATCGTTATTCTATGCACCTCGAAGAGGGTTTTTCGAAATTCGCTTTAGATTTTTAAAATTCTATAATTAAGAGATTTCTCAACTAGCTGTGTGTGTGGCATCATGACGTCATATGATGTCACAAACAATCAGGTGATTTCAAGGTTATGAATCGGCGTTTAGACTAGTGAAAAATAAAATAGTATTGAAATTAAGCGAAATAATAACAAAGAGAAAAGTCTTGCTTTAGAAAAAAAGACGAGTTAAGTATGAATATCCATTCATTTATCCTTTTATAAAAATACGTAAATATTAAAAAAGAATTGGAAAATGAGGTTCAAATAAAAATATTTTAAAGAAAAATTGTATACATTTTCCGAAAACTTCAAATCAATGTTACACTTAAAGAAATGTCGAAAATTAGTCATTACTAATTTTTCCTCAAAACAATAGACATTTTACGCATGTATACAAAAAACCTTACCACAAAACACCTTATTTTGAATACCATATTTTATAAATTTATTAAAATATTTTATTCAAATTATAATATAATGAAACACGTAAGTTATTTTTATAAAATATTTCAGAAAAGACCTTTATTAAACAGTTATATACGCTCTTTTCAAACTAAGTTGTTTTATAAATTACCTAGCTTAAATTTATATTATAAACGTATGACACTGAATGAAAATAAACGAAACATAAATTAAAAAAATATTTAAGTTGAAAGTTTTTTAAGTGATGAGTTTTCTCCAAGTTTTTTTATTTGACTAGGATTTGCAAATATTTATTAATCCTACAAACATGCAAAATTTTTAAAGAAAAAAGCCTGCACAAAAATGGTTTTAAAAAAGTTTATACTTATTTCACAATTTAATACTGAAAATTTTTCGTTTTTAGTCTCATTTTCACAGAATAAAAAAATTAGACTATATATATATTGCTTTTACATAAATGATGGCTATGAAAGATATGTGTACCATACAAATTATTTTTAAAGAAGGGTTATTACATACTTGAGTCTGAAGAGACATTCATTAGAAATATCAGAGGAAAAATATTTAGTCTTTAAAATGTTTGAAAGTTTTGACATCTGAAATTGAATTTTATTTACTTTTCAGATCTGGAAAATTTTACTTTAAACATACCGAGACATTTTTGTTATTTCAAAGAATTGCCATTGAAATGATAATATTCCAAATAGGATATTCAAATGGATGAAAGGTTAATAACTTTTGACTTCGTGGAATTTAAATGAATAAAATTATATCCAGACGCAAAATTACTAATTTACTTTTGCAGAAACTTCTACGCACGTTCGCTCTCTCTCTTTTCTATTTATATACATTTTCTATGTACCAAAATAATGATATTTGATTTCAGAAATATGTTTTCAAGAAATTCGTAATTTACAAAACATTCGTTCAGGGAAAACTTGATATTAGGACAAATTGTTCATTGATTTTACTTTTCTTACATGTTCAATGCTAAATCTATAAATCCACTTCTATAATCAAGGGTAAGGTATTGCCTTCTTCTTTCTTATCCCTCTAGTCTGAATCAGACCAGATCCATGAGTTTGTTCTCCTTAAAAGATCTAAAACAAAAATAGGTCCCCTCAAAAGGTCCTCTCGTACCAAGTCAACGCAATCAAGTAAATGTTGCTGTACTTCATTACACTTGATGCAAATTGGAAAAGTCTTGAGGGACTTTAAATGCCCTGTAGACCTGTAGACAGTCGAGCAAAAGTAGTTTCATCCCTCCTGTCACCTTTAAAACTGATTGACGCTCTAGGGCACTGACTAAGATACCACAGATGGGGTGGCAGTTGTTTCCAGGAGATGTTTATAGAGGCTTTACATTTCGAGTATAGTTGAAGGTACGTAAGAGGTTCCTCATTGACCTGAATCATTGAAGTATCACCCTTTGTAGGTCATCAGCAATGTCATTATATTCGTATTTCACATGGTAAGGTAAGGTAACTTAATCCCATGATTCTTATTTTAAAGATTAATGCTGTACTTCTCATAATGTATTTCTTGAACAATAGGCAAATACAAAGTACATTTCGAAAACGAGTGTCGTCATTTTTTAAAAAGATAAGATAGAAAAATAGATAAAACATATAATTACTATAAGAAACTACATTCGTTGCTGGCTAAGTGAAGAAAGCATCAGCGTAGGAAGAATGACGCAAGCGCTGGATGTCGAAGAAAAGAGAGTAATAGCAGACCTGCGCGGCAAGTTCAAGGTTTTTCGTGTAAAAATCACGACAGATGTGTGATGACAACGTAGGTGCCAATGATATCCGGTATGAATGAGCACGCTGGACTAGAGTATTCATTATCCATGAACGTCTACAGACAACGTATTGTGGAGAAGTAATGTCTGAAGAATGCTTTCAACTTGCTCTTTTTAAAATTTAAGTATCAAATTAATAAATTGCAGTATTTCTAGATAAATAAAATTTAAGACCTACATTAGTGTGACAAAAATTACTTATGTTGTGAGAGTTTAAAGTTGGGCGAAAAAGTCATGTGATTGTTTGGGAGTTGGTAGGGCGAAGCTAGCCAATCCAGTTGCAGCAAAGAAATCCAAGATTGACATGAAAAAAAATGGATAGAAAAAGTTAGGATGCATTGGTGTTGAGAGGAGCTTCTGTGATTAGCTGACAAGAATGGGGGAAATGGGTGATCCTTCACTTCCATAAATGAAAAACAACGTTACTAGTGTACAGGACATGGTGTCAGAAGACAGGCACATAACAGTCAGAGTAACAGGTTCATCGCATGCTCCATGATGTGTTGGACTATCGAAAAGTGTCTGAAAGATGGGTGCCGAGGACGGTGAGATCTGAGGCACCCCCTTTGAGGGGGGAGATCTTATGGCACGGGTCGTCGTCGTTTCAGCTGGCATCGCCACCACACCGGATTTGTTTCAACGTGATTTGTTTGAAGATACTTTTTCCTTCGATGTCAGCTGTGGTATGACCTACGAGACCACAACTTCGTACATTTATAATGACAATCACTTGTTGTTGCATTTCTGACGTCGAACTGTGATGCATTGCTCGTATTGTAAACATGCTTTGCGTCTTATAAATGTATTTCATACCTCGTATTGCCCTTTTTCATTCCCCTCAACATTCCACCCTTCATAACTGTTTTTTTTCGAATTGCTCCGACTGAACATGGTTTTCAATCCTATGTTCTATCTTGATTTGTCGCCCCCCTGGTAGCATGTCATATCCATGCTACTTACTATCACCCCTCTGAATTCGTTGATCGAATTCGGCAACACCTATTTGACAAAATTTTAATTCACATCATCTTTTAATTTCCTATTTCGCTAGAAAAACGGCAACAATTCTTTTTCCCACATGAAAGTTATCCATTTATGCGCTTTTTTAAAATCAAAGTTCCGAACGTAGTCGGATACCTTAAATCGAGGTTTTTATTTTACGCATTATGGGGTTTATCTTCTTTGAGGATCGCAATGATAGCTATAAAACGAATTTCAATCACATTGAAAGCTGCGAAGTCAAAGCATTTCATCCTTTGCGAGATGGAATGCAGTGACATCTATTTTAACCAACCATATGGGAAAAAAGATTTAAATTATAGAAAGATTATGAATGTGATATTCTAGGTCAGAGTTTCATAAGGTAAAATTTGTGCAGTTTTAAAAGAGCGTTAAATGGTTAGAGGAGTTGCTTGAGTTTAAAAAATATATATTGTTTATTATATATATATATATATATATATATATATATATATATATATATATATATATATATATATATATATATATATATATATATATATATATATATATATATACAAGAAAAGCAAAGAAAGCGAAAATGTTACTAATAATGGAATTTCGTTTTATAAATCTCATATTAAAAACACTTAAAAATTATGAAAGCTTATTCTATTCCAAATAGTCTGCCATAAAACTAAATAATACATTTGATTAGATTATTTGTCTGAAAAAGAAACATAAAATTCTTTTGTGACTAATAGTAGCGAAAAAAAGAATTAATTTTTATAATAATATTAAATCGCTCCTTCATGCTCATTAAGAAATTAATCATAAACTTACGAATCCCCTGTATGACGTAATCAAAATTGAATTCTCTTAGTTGACCAAAAATTGAAAAGCAAAGTTACAGTAAAGCTTTTTTTGGTGCGGTAGATAGGGACCGCATAAAAATAAACCGCACAAAAATATTCGAAAATTTCACATAAATTCTTACATGTAACAAACAACTTAGTCGAAATACTACAGAAGTTTTTTTATGCGTTGCACAGGAACCTCAGAAATAATGTCGCACTTAGAAAATACGTCAGTTATTTACGAAATTTATGAGAAAGTACTTCCATAACAAAATAAA